TAGACTTCCTAAGGCCTTCTGACTTGAAATGTAGTGAACAGACTTTCGCACGCTCTGTTATGCCTCCCTCTCGACGGATTACTTGCATCCACTGTTTTCGTATTAAAGGCGTTTTAGGAAAGTTAAAGAAAGAATCCTTTTCTCCTAATGACAATGTGTAACCTTTCTGATTGCATTTGAGTGTGCAGCAGAACGAAGGCATCGCGAAATGATTACACTAAAATACAGTGAAAAGGCCGCGTAGTCAAAACAAAGCATCAGTATTGTATTGTAATCTTTATTTCGACACGATCAATTCATCAGCCTATAAAAATACATGTCACATACGCTAAGATATTTAAAATTAAAACTACATACTATAACACTAAAGCTGTTTTCCGTGAATGCCGTGCGTTAGACTTAAAAAATGTCATTGATCTTACGTTTAAATAACCCCAGAGACTCTGTGTTCCTTATATCGCGTGGTAAACTGTTCCATAATGTGGCGCCATTGTAGCTAAAGCTTTTTCTGTAATAATTAGTGCGCGGTAGTGGAACATTAAGCTTATTTTCAGAGTCCCTGAGGTCATAAGCAGAGTCACGCCACGTAAACTTTGAATATAGATACCTTGGAGCTAGCCCGTGCAGACATCTAAACATCATGGTGGCTTTATGGATTTCCTGCTGGCGTGCAAGATTTTTCCACCCTAAAAACTCGAGTAGCTCAGTTGCATCAGCATCATAGTTAGAGAATGTCAACACACGGGCTGCTCTATTCTGCAATTTCTGCAGTTTGTCTCGTAGCGTTTTCCCACAGCTACCCCAAACAATGTCACAGTAATCAAAGTGAGGTTTTACTAAAGCTTGGTAGATGAGATGTAAGGTTGATGCTGGGATCAGGTGCCTAATTCGCTTTAGGGCCCCGATACCAGAGGCGATCTTTTTCGTTAGTTTTTCGATGTGACTATGCCAATCGAGTTTATCGTCTATTATTACACCAAGCGATTTTGTAGCTGAAACCTGGCTCACTTGAGTATTGTTCATTCTAATTGTTGGTGAAGCTGTGAGAGTATTCAGTCTCTGCCTCGACCCTATTAGCATGAATTCGGTTTTAGTCATGTTCAACGTGAGTTTGTTCGCTTGTAGCCAGTTGAAGACGTTTTCTAGGTCTTCATTTAGACAAAACTGAACGTTCTCAAGATTGCTTCCCGCATATGTGAGGTGCGTGTCATCGGCATACATTCTCGGTTTACAATTTGATAAGCAATTTGGAAGATCGTTGATATATAATAAGAACAATAATGGACCGAGGATGGTCCCTTGAGGGACGCCGCAAGTCAACGAGTAGCTACTGGATAGCGACCCGTTGACAGAGCATTTTTGTGTTCGGTTTTCCAAATATGACTGAAACCATCTGAAAGATTTTCCATGTATACCATAATAGTTTAGTTTCGATAGAAGGATCTGATGATCAACAGTGTCAAAAGCTTTTTTCAAATCTAGAAAAATGACTCCATTGATTTTCTCGTTATCAATATTATATGCCCAAGAANCGTGATCATGTCACAGTTCATGTCTCCCAGTACAAAAAATTCTACATTTTCACTATCCAATTTCCCAATTAGGGATTCAAAAGGTGAAAAAATGCCAATAGGAGAGTCAGGTGGTCTGTACCAAGTAACAATCACAAAAGATTTTGAATTTGGCTTATGGATTTCCAAGCAAAGATTTTCTAGTGTATCCATGTGTAGGTCATTTCGTACTGTAAAGTTGATTGAAGTTTTTACATAGAAGCATACCCCTCCGCCGCATTTTGTTAGTCTATCGCGGCGAACTATTTCGTATCCCGGAATATGAACTTCTTGATCTCGAATACTCTCGTTCAGTTTCGTTTCATTTATGGAAACAATATCGATATCATTGTTTGCTAATATGATTCTTAATTCGTCTATATGAGTAATTAATTGATTAATATTGAGTGATGCCATTCTAAAACCGCGCAAAGGAGGCAATATTGAGACAGATTTTTCGGCCTTTTGGTTGTTTAATTGATCCCGCACGGCATTGACGGACAGCACATTATCTCATTCTAGGTGCGATTTAAAATTATTATAAAACTGCTCATTACCTTTAAAATTTAAGTGCAGTCCACCTTTGTTGAGTCCACTATGAGATATGTTCTCATGATGGATTAATTTCCATCCATTTTGATGGCAGAACTTCTTTAGATGCTTGTTGGCTGTTTTCACTGCCTGGTCCAGCTTATCTTTTCTGCATACAAGCTCCGACAGCGTAACTGTAGTATCGCAGGTGCCCTCGATCTGTCTCGCGAGATCCACAATCGATTCCGCAACAGCCTTTGGTTCCCTGGTTTTAAGATCATTAGTCCCAATGTGTAAAATCACTTCATTGGGCGAAGATTCCAGATTTGGCTTGAGATAGTGATTCATGGCCATTGTCGTAGCGCCCGAGAAAGGCTTGACTATAACCCTGTGGCCAACTGCTTTTCCCAGATCTTTTCCAGGTATTCTTGAGATCATCGAATCTCCTATGAGCAGGGTTGTGCGCTCTTTTGGTTGTTTTTCGGGTTCGGATTCTTTACCAGGATTCTGTACCAGGCTGTCCGAGTGATCCGCCATATCTGCATTCGGTCTGTATTGTTCCTGAAAATGTTAACTCTTTTTATCAGTGCTCTACCAAAGGGTATTGTAAGGGCTTGGATTGATCCTTGCAAGGTTTCTATCGCAAAGTACAGAGCTCTCTCTATATAGGGGTTGGAGCTTTGCCAATCAAAGGTTGTTGAAACACCCTCCCTAATCAGAAACAGCTCTGAAGAGACAATTCCATTAAGAGAAGACACCTGATAAATCAAGATTAAGTCAGACTTCAAACATGAATTCGATCTTTTAGCAAGTGTGCAAACCAGTGCAACATCAGTAGAAATATTCCTCCAAGAAAAAAGTTACACAAAGATAAGTTGGTTGTTGAATTTTTTTCTGTCGGCTTTTTTTTCTTCTGTTGGGGATACTTCGATCAAATCGTTAGGAAACAAACTGTTACGGACAAGAAATCAGTCATCAACATCTGGGGTAGAAAATACCGGTAATTCAAGCTAGACATAGTTCAAGAGTTAAAGAACAAACTCCAGTGGAATAATAGAAATTTTACTTTTTTGAGAAACTGCTAACTTAAAGGAAAAATTCAAACTTTCGTTGCTCTTGAGGGAGGCTCATCTCATTTGCCGGCAGATTTTTTCCGAGAGAAATGCACCGGCTGCCCGCTTATTTTGACAACCTTGTGTCAACATGGTTAGGTTACCTCTATTTTGCAGGCAGTTGACCCTGTATCTCTTGTATACTGTGGCATCTATGATCTATTCAATTACTCTTTGACAACCAATCAATCAATCAATTTATTATGCGAGCATACATAAAAGCAAACGTGATCCCTATCAAGGACGCTCCCTACATAAAATATAAAAAATAGTTATATATTTCAATGTAAAATTTAGGAATCATTCTGAAATAGAAAAAAAAATTCCGAAATTTTCAATGCTTTCTAAGTTTCATACGAAAAATGTTGAAATGCTGTTCGTGCACCATCTCTTTAGGAAGAGCATTCCACTGTTTTATAATTCTAACAAAGAATGAGTACAAACAACAATTTACTCTTACCAGCTAATGGCTGTCTTCTCCTTCTAATACCGATCCCTGCATTATCCAGCAAACAGGTAATGAGAATCCTCAAACCTATCAGGTCGAAGTTATCTTCATCTAACACTAAATTCTCATAACTAATTTACAAGGAAATGTCTAGAAGCAAGCTAGAGGGAAGAATTAAAAAAAATCAGATTTTGTGAGCCAAAGGGTTAACAGGCTAAGCTCTGCCATGAAATTTGCTAAGCATCAAAATCTGCTATTTGTGAGAAGGCAGAAAATATCACCATTTTCATATAAGTCAAACTGCATTCCTAGAACATTCAATTTTGGATTGACTTTTTTCATACATGTTACCACTATTTGGGATGCATTCCCTGATAAAATCAAACAAAGTGTAACTCTCAGTATACTCATAAGTTGGCTTAAGTCCTCATTTTCGCCTAAGGATTGTTTTTGAACCCAGGAAGTTCCACGACCCCAGGCGGGATCCCGGCTAGAATCCCACCAGGAAAAACCTAAGATACTACACGGGATTGAATACAAGATTTTCAAGGTTTATTTTTTCGCATCGTCCCAATAGAGATAGGCTTTTAGGTGCTCTAAATGAAGAGTACATCTACGGAAAGATACTCAATTTGGAAGGCGATGGTCTTCAACACCTTAAAAGCGACGGAAGAAGCATCGGGTGAACAGTCTGGTGAATAATACTACGATTTGCACACGTGATGACTTAAGTGGAACTTTACCAATTTTGGACCATTCTTTGGCCTGGTAAATATTTTTAAGTGGTAACGGGTTAAGTCGCCCGAGAGTCATCTCGATTCTTTTTTTTTTTTCGGGTACGTAACATGACTCAAATTTTTGGCACATGTCACTCAGGCCTTGAGCAAGGAGCCATTGTTATCATGGCAACAAGAGTGCTGCAACCTCAAAAAAGGGTATTTTTGTGCATTCCTCCCGATTGCCTAACTTCATGCAAAATTTGAAGGCGTGTTGAAAATTTTTATTTCCTAAGATGTTTGACTTTTGCAGAGACTTCTTAACTTGTGTTATTTTATTTAAACTTAAGGATGATTTATAAAATTAAATACCGTACTTCCTCGAAAAAATGTTGGGTAAAAAAAGAGGAGGCATTTATTGGAGGAAGGGTACCTAATCAAGGGGGGCACTTGTTATTCTCCTGTAATGACTCTGCTGTAGGTTTAAAATGATCTAAAGTGGCAATAATAGAAACAGGTTTTTCTTGTATCCCTACGATTTAAGTGAGTTAGGGACAAGGGAGATTGCTTTATGGACTCTGTGGCTTGGGGGGGGGGATGGGTGCTCATTGGAGTGTGGGAACTTATTTGAGGAAATACAGTATGGTTTTTATTAATAAATCATTTAATAGTGTGAGAAAGCTTCAGTAGTTCTTGTTACAATGGCTATGATCTTAAAGATCTTCTTTTGTCAGATTTTCTTTCTTTTGAAGACAAGTATTCTGATCTTTTCCCACTCATGTTGGACTTGATAATGTGATTGACCTGTTCCACTATTTCTCCTGGCAAAACAAACAAACAAACAAATATAAACAACAACAACAAAATTAATGTTGAAAAAACA